ATTCAAATTTCGCTATCTTGAAATTTATTTGTTAGTAAAGTTTCACGACTTGCCATAGTAGTATCAAAAGCTTTTCCGTGGAAGTTTTGTGGCCAGAAGTTCCAAGGTGTCGTTGTGAACAAAAATTATGAGTGATTAAAGGTTTAGCAGTAGTCAAGAATTTCGTATAATTAAGGTTTCGCCTTAATAAGAAACCTTCTGGAGCTAAGAAGTTTGCCAGAGTCAAAAATTAAAACTCTGTATTCAGAGCTTTCACCGTAATTAGAAGCTTCACCATAGTTAGAAGCTTCATTGTAGTTGAAGAAAAAAAAAAAAAGAAAAAAAAAAAAGAATTGTAATCAAAGGATTCTGTAGTTAAATACACTTATTGTTGCAATTAAATTTTCTTGATGGATTTAGAATTATTGCTTACTCCAACTGAATTTTCACAGTCTGATAATGAATTGCCAGACTATTATGAACTATCCGATAACTATGAAACAACAGATGATGAGCATTTAAATAATGAATCAGTTGTTTCTCAAGAATAGATACCTAAAAAAAATGAAGTCATGGAATGAATTTAAAACCTACTTTAGAAAAGGTAAGAATAGTATCAAATATGTTATTTATATTAATATCTATCTAATTAGTTTTATATTTTAGCAAGCAGAGTTGGCCAATTATTCAGATGTACTTGAAATTTTGAGTCCATTATGTGTATGATGCAAACATTGCAGAAAACCAATTAAACTAAAAAGAAACTATGATAAGTCACGAATTGAATCTCATGTGTCTAATAACAAATGTATTAAGAACAAGGGATTTCAAGATTTGAGAAAATTCTTCACAGTTTCTAATTCTCAAGATGAACTATCACATAAAAGATATCTGTGTTCTGGATTATGTAAAGAGAAACACCTTAAATATATTGAATAAGTTGGTGGTTTTGCAGTATCCAGTGGAGCTCCACTTGTCAAAATAGTAGAACAAGAACTTTTTTCAAACAAGTTTACAGAAAATACAAAATTTTCTTATTCTAAGCTTAGTTCCAATTAATCAAAAAGACTTAACGATGAACTATCAGCAAGGTCTAAGTGGAAGATTGATCAAAAATGTTTATGTATACATAGTTTAGTGTGTGAAATATATACTGACCAAATTGAACGATTATGCGTGAAATATATCTTACTTACAAAGAATCCAGTTTTTAAGGTAAATTTTGATTATTTGAATATTTTTTTTTTTGAATTATATTTATATTTATTTATTTATTATATATCTTCTAGAATGCACTTTCTAAACCCATGCTGAAACTAGAAAATCGATACTTCACACCAAAATTTTATTTTAGAAACAATCCGATTTTGAAATTTCTTGGAAATCTATATATAAAAGAACTCTGAACTTCAATTTCTAATACCAATAAAAATAACTTAGTGCTATTTTAGTTAAAATTAGCTGAGAAAGGTTTAAATAGTACATTTGAATCAAAAACTTCATTTAAAGAACTATGTAAAATAATGATACAAATAGCTCAATGTGAAGATCATAGCAAAGGCATTCAAAATTTAAAATATTCTGAAGATGTTACACATTTTATGGCTGTACTTTCTAGCCTAAGCCCAAAAGCATATGATTTTTTTTGAGCCAATTTGGCAGGACAAACATTATGAAACATTAGATATTAAATTGTTATTTTATTTATGATATTGAAATTTTAAGGTCATAGATTATATAATATATAATCTTAAGCAGTTAAAATATTTCTTATATAGGCTCTTGCATCAAAAATCTGGCAAGTGTATATCTGACACAAGTATATGTTTAGAAAATATGGCACGCTTTAAAAGATTAGCTAATTCTATAAACTATAAAAGTCCAGTTATTGCAATGACAGATAATACTAAAGTTTATCACTGTCTTGGCTATTCTACAAATCTTGAATATATTATTGGTTCTGTTTTTTCACTTGATCAAAAAGGTTAATAATTATAATAAAGCAGAATCAGTTATTCAAAATATAATTTCAAACAATTCAATAGCAAAGCAAGTTCGGTTGTATTTACTTCAAGTAAGCATTTATAGAGCTTTGAATTTATAATTTACTAAACTCAGTTTTTAAATAATAGTTTGGTGAATTATAAATAAAAATAT